TCACACAGCCTGACGTGTCTACAGGGACAATAGCCAGTACCCTGCACTCCAGCAGCTCCCAGGGAGCCTCGCGCCGTAAGAGATTGGAGCAGAGGCCCAGGGTCACAACACAAAGCCGATAGACGTGGTTGTTCCAGAGGCAGCCAGATAAGGTGACCTTTGTCCCTCTCCACATGAGCCCCGCTTGAACCAGGAATGAGAGGGAGTAACATGCAGCCTTTCCAGTGACACCCCTGTTCTGGGGCAGGTCTGTCTCCACTTTCCCAGAATGAAGTGCTCACGACAAACCAGTTTTTCTGGCTCTAGGGTTGTGCTGACTTTTGCAAAGCTGACCACAGGAGAAACTGCCTCCTGGGTGGTCTTTTTTTTATTTTTGGTAATGGTAAACTTGAGACAAGCAGATACTCCTAACAAAAACAGTAACGATGACAGCGGCTAGAAATTATCGAACACTTGGCCATCAGAGACTGGGCCCAATGCTTTACATATGTTATGTTATTTTAATCCTTAGAACTCTGAGAGGTAGCCGGTATTATGACTCTCATTTTATGGATGGGGTAACTGAGGCTCCAAGAGGTTATTAAATGCCTTGCCGACAGTCACACTATACTGAGGTGGTAGAAGAGAACCCAAGTTCTTATTGACCAGAGGACACCACATAACATCATCTCAAAAGGAAGCGAGTGCCGTTTTCTCTCAGGGGCCTCCCCACTGTTGTGGTTCTCTTCATCAACAGAGACTGAGCCCAGTGTGTTGCTTTGTGCCGCCTCTTTCGCTCGTCTTCTGTCCTAGCAGTCACAAATCCGAAACACCTGTGGCACTGAGGAAGTGGTGATTGGCAGGGGCCCCATGCCAGGATCTTTTGTCCTGGACAGCCCCTAAGTGGTCCTCAATGTTTCTGTCAGCATATTCTGACCTGGCACATCGTGCTTTATAGATACCAGGCGGGAGTCATACTTAGAGCCTTGGCCCTCTCCCTGTTTGTTCACTCAGGTGTAAACAACTATGCCATATGTGGTTATGTGCACTCATGGCTTCTTCATATATATGGTTGCATGTGCTCATGGCTTCTTCATTGACTTAAGCAGGAACCTCTTTAAATGACTGATGTCACTTGATAAATTAGACTCCTAGACGCCGTGTCTCTCCAGGGATTGGCTCCCCAAATAACGCTCTCCCTTGGCTGGGAGAGTTTCTTCCTCACCCTTCCCACTTCAATTCTGCTAATCACCACTCTGTAACTTCCCTTTCACTTCTACCCATTACCGCCAAATGCCCCCCCTCGCTTTCTGTAGCGCTATCCACAGCTGACAGTTATCCCAGGCTCATTCAACCCCACCTCCTCCAGGAGTCTTCTTGGACTGCTCTGCATTCTGTCTCCTTCGTCTAACCACCAAGAGCACTCACCAGGCAGGCTAGTCCTTGAAAAGTTCTCCTACTGTGTCCCATGAAGGTACGATAACGTCCTTCCGTCTCTTCACCATATCGTATCTGATTATGCTCCTACTGGTCTCTATTTCTCTTAATGTGTGAAGGCTGGAAATGAACAAAATAACTGAGGAATGCTCCATCCATACTGGGGAAAATGGGACTGATTACCAACTCCTTTATTCCAGATACTCTGCTTCCAGACTTTTCTACTTCATTCTACTACCTCGACCTGAGGTCATCAAATGCCAGGTGTCAAAGTGGAAAGGGCATGCTGATTTACTGGTGGCAACAACAAGGCTTTCACAATCCTTTCGACCCCTTTCTGAGACAAGTCTCAGTGAAATCATCATGATGACCCTTCCAGGAATCTTCTGCCTTCTTTGTTCCCACTATCAGGATGTCATTTTCAGTCTCTCAAATCTCAAACACTCAAGTAAAAGATGTTGTGGAATATGGAGATGTCCTTAGTACGTGATGAGTGCAGAAAAAGTAGACTTGCTGGCATTTTCTGTGTTACCTCTCCATACCAACCAACCCAGCAGGTCTTACGATGTTCCCTAAACAACTTGTTACCTGATGGCTTCCAGAGAGGGTAATGGATTTCCCCACCCCCTCTGCTGGTGGCTCTGAGAGTCCAAAGGCTGGATCTGCACTCCTAGCTCAGTCTCTAAATCACTGAGTGGACTGGACATTGCAATGTTCTCATCTTGAAAGTGCGCCCCCTGCTCTAACTTACGGGACCATGATGAAGCCTAACAAAAGTGGATTATTTTTCTCATGGCTGCCACTGTTAAGTGAACTACTGATACAAACTACCATTTTCATCATTTGCTATCACTCCACTTGCAACAATTACAGTGGTGTTGTTGGGAGATAAGCAGAGAAACCATTCTCTCTCTTTCTGTCCCCCTACTTTCTTGTAACATTTCTACCCATGATAGAGTATTTGGACAACGGTGCAATTTGGCTAATTCCCTCCACTTTGTGCACATTTGGGATATGATACTCTGTGTGGGTGTAGGTAGAGATGGAGAGTGGCAGGGGTGAGGAAGTCTTTGTCACTTCATGTGTATCAGACCACACAGAGAAGAGCCATACCCTTTAGACTGAAGGAGGCGGGAGGGAGTATAAGCTAATAAAGCTCTCAGATGGAGGATCCTGCGGGGCAGAGAAGATTGGCTGCCCAAGGGGCTGGCACAGTCACGTGAAGGGGTCTCTGGAAATGGGAATGGTGTTGGCTCAGGGTGGATGCCAAGTAAGTCCCAACAAAATGCTGCCATTTCTGAGGTGGGGAAGGCTTGACACCCACCCACCTCCACTCCCAGGCCTACCTGGCTCCCAGTAACACAAATAATCCTTTTAACAAGGACAAAGGCTTTAATTCCACAAATAGAAGAAGGACTTGACATTTCAATGAAAATATGGTTTCTGAAGTAAAGAAACTTACGGGTTGAGTTTACAGTGGGAACATCCTTATGGAGGCAACTGGAAGGAACTTCCTAGGAAGACCTGAGGCAAACAATCTCCTTGAGATAGGAAAAATGGTATGGAAATTCTTTCACAATTGGCATGAAAATGACAATTAGAGGCTTATTTGCAGAGTCCATGGTGTCCTGTGAGAAAAGAAGGGAAGGGTGTAACTAACTCTGGACGAAAAATAGAAAGGGAAGGGTTTGTGACCAGAGTACTGAAGGGGGAGAAGAGTGACCCCTGACCTCAGAGAACAAGTTGGCATTTGTCAAATACCCAGAGGAACCCCTCTCAGAAAATGAATAGATTTCTGACACAAATATCAGAAAATGCTAGCATTTATTTATTTCAGAGGATATGTAAACAGATGTTTTATATTATTCTCTGTACTTTTCTATTATTTCAAAATTTTTACAGTTAAAAAAAGTGCACATCTGAAAATGAAAGTTGATAAATGAAAGTTCCCATTAATACGATGAAATACTATGTAACTGTTACAAAAAATTTTTATTGAGGAAAATCTCTCTGTGCGCACTCGGAAGCATCTCCAGGAAACGTTGTAGGGTGAAAAACAGCGAGTTTCAGAACAGTGTATTCCGCCCAGTCCTATCTGTGTGAAATACTTTTTATAATGTGTGTATATGTCTTGCTATATGTATCGAATTAAATCTAGAAGCAGCAACAAATTCTTAACAGGAAGTGGGATTATGTACATTATTACGTACCCTTTGTGTGGTATGAATTCTTATGATAAGTATATAATACTTTTATAATCGTAGAAAAGCAGTAATAAAGGATTCTCGAAGCGGTGGAGCAGCAATGCTGGTCCCCAGGCCTTTCCAGGTTAGTGTTATGCCCAACAGGCCAGCAACTGGAGCTTCCACCTGCCCTGTCCTTGTCCGGCCTCTTTCCTGATTTGACACTGCGATGTCTGAGTGAGGGTTTGTGACAGATGCCAGCTGGGGCGGTGATGACAAGCCCCAAACCACATTTGTTCCATTACTTCCAGCTCCTCGTTGCCTTTGCAGTCGCCTCGGCGAAAGCTCCTCTCTCTTATCTGCACAGAGCAGGAGTCAGAAGTTCTTGTCGCTGTGAGTGCAGAACGCTGGGCTGGAAAACCTCCTGATAATACCTAAATTCCTCTGGAAGAGCTGTGCCTGGAATCGGGTCAGAAGTGCTATGTGGCCTCAGCACATTTTGTACTGTGCAGTCGGATCATAAACTGGATGAAATTTGGCAATTAAAAAACATAAGGGACATATAACGATGTCATTGTAGTCCCATCTGATCTGCTAATCCCTCTCCCCAAGCCAGTTTATCTGTTCCCCTCCAAAGACCACACAGGCCCCTGAGGAAGCCTCTGCGTGTGTGAGCCATTGAGGATTTCAAAACAGACACGGAGATAGGAGAAATGAAAAGGAAATCCAAATAAGAAAAAAAATAGAGATCATGCCGAAGTTTCTGAGACACATTTATGGCTTTTGTAAACAGATATGCGTTAGCTGAATGGGGCTGTGGGACCTCTGATGACATTAGCGAATTCTGACAGGAATTTAAACTTAGTAGCTGTCCGAGCTTATCCTTATTAGCAGTTTGCTAAACATTTTGTGCTGGGTGCCCTGCTTTATATTTGAACATGATGCAAATGGCACGTTGTCATCTCAATTCTCTCTCTCTCATCGTAAAACCCGAGGGAGATGGGGCGTTCGCCCACTGCAGTCTCCTTTGGCCTCATTCTGCCTTCAGTGGCCCCTTTTCTTTCCTTCATCTCCCCTGATTTCGTTTCGAAAACATATGGGTTCACATAGAAAATGTGAAGGAATGGATGAACTTGAAAATAAAGTTTAACAAATGATAGACTTTTTGATATATCACTCATTCTTCCCTGACAGACACGCCATTTTTATAAACACAAGTTCCCATATAGAGTAAATATATGAGAAAGGATTTAAAATGTACCTTCACTCTTTCTTTGAACTGGAGACAGATCTAAGGAGACAGACATGTTCTCCTAGTAGGGATGACACCTTGAAGCATTTCCCAAAAGCCCTTGGATGTGCGTCAGCCACTGACCCAGTTCTTGGATTTCGCTCCCTCAGGTAACCAGGTGAGTTTCTCCAAATCAGCAGATGCATTTGCCTTTGAGGAGGACAGCAGCAGCGATGGGCTTTCTCCAGACCAGACTCGAGGTGAAGACCCCCAGGGCTCAGCAGGATCTCCCCCAGACACGAAAGCTGCAGAGACCCCTTTGGCAGGTCCTCTGGGAACAATCCAGGTAAACAAACCACATCTCAGCCTGTCATCTCTTCAGTCTTAAAATCAACACTGCCACGGTCGGTTTGGCTTAGAGACCCCAGAGAGGTCTCGCTGGCACACCGTCTTGGTGCCCCTTCTCATCCTATTCGGTCCCGGGTTCCGGGTGTGTGGGCAACAGCCTCCAGGAAACACTGAGAGAGACTCCTCGGGACTCTACCCTGTGACTTCCTTTTCAAGCAGCTACTCTGCCAAGTAGATACCTTTATCTCCGTTTTTACCAACAAGGTACAAATGAGGCTCACTGACATTGAATGACCCACCCATAATCTCCCAGATAGAATGTGCCAGAGCAGGACTGGTTGCAAAGCCTACCAGCTTTCCACGTGTGGAAGAGTCCCTGTCGGGTCCTGGGGAGTGGGGAGCAGGACGTGGTGACTGGATGCAAAGCAGGGAGGCCCATGGTGCTTCTACCTGCGGAACCCCCACGGTCCACCTCCAGCCCCAGCCCAAGCACAGCATTCACCTCTTTCCGGACAAATCCACAAACTCTCGAGATGTGAGGAACGTATACGGCAAATACTATTAAAAGCACATTTATAAAGAGCAATAATACTTATTAACAACAGCTACTGCTGTGTATTAATGGCTCCCTCTGTGACAGGGATAGGGTTAGGCACTTTAACAGAATTTTTCTTGGATATCACAGTCCCCTCCGGGTGGGATCGCTGACATCGATTCCGAGGAGGAACCGCGGCTCCGTGAGGCTGAATAGCTGTGTGGTCCCCAGGAACACTGTAGATGCACCCCAGCCCTGGAGCTCCCACCTCCAGAAGCCACACACCGACCTGATGGGAGTTCTCCTCAGCTTAGCGTGGTGGCCTTCATGGAGCCCCAGAGAGGAGACGTGTGTGGGCGTGCACACATGAGAGGGAAGGATAAACACTAGAGTGACAGCGAGATGGGTCTTCCATACCCCGGCTCTGAGACAACCCTCCAGACCTTCAGCCCCTTCCCTTTGGGAAAAGTTTACTCCTCCTGGCCTCACAGGAATTGTTTGATGGATTGAAATTAGATATTTTATATATCTCTATTAATATATATTATACATTAATATGCATCTATTATATATGGTTATTTTATATGTATATGTATAATTCTCTTTATTTTCTAAAATTGAGTTATAATTGACATATAGCATTATATTAGTTTCAGGTGTACAACATAAAGATTTGATATTCGTATATATTGTGAAATGACCACCATAATAAGTCTAGTCGACATCATCACCACACATAGTTACAATTGTTTTTTCTTATGATGAGAACTGTTAAGATCTACTCTCCTAGCACCTTTCAAATATACAATACGGTGTTGTTAACTATAGTCACCATGCTGTCCATGACATCCCTGGGACTTTGTTGTTTTATAGCTGGAAGTTTGCACTTTTTAATCCCATTAGATGTTATATTTGGAGGCTTTTTTATGCTGGAAAGCACACGCAGCTCTCAGGGGGTTTTGGGATGCACCATGGCCACCTCCTGAAACCGTGCTGGTTGCTGGTTGTTGTCATGACCTTCACTCCATTAAAGCAAACCTGAGGCTGCCAAGGAGAAGACGTGGATGGGAGGGAAAAGGGAGACACAAAAAGCAGAGCCAAACTCTTCATACGTTTATTGTGCAAGAGTTTATAAGCAGAGCAGCTTTCCCTCCCCTGCGTGCCGCGCTGGTCTTTGTAACCAAACTTCCCTGATAACATCAAACAATATATCAGACCATTTGTATCTATTATTCTGACGGTAAATTCCCGAGCTTCTGCTTTCAGGATGGCTTGAGGAGAAGGCAAGTTCTTTTCTACTTAACCCTAGGAGAGGAGTCTAAGGGAACAACACTGAACAGCGCTAGGCAAAACGCAAAAATCGTCCTACGTCTGTTCACCAGCAACCCCATTTGAGAGACAAGGACACTGAGGCTCTGAGAGAAAAGGATGCTACAGACCATGGACAGGGGCCAGGCCTTGTGGGAGGGCTGAGAGGCTCCACGGGAGATCATGAGCAGCCTCTGCCCCTTCTCTTCCAAGTCACAACACAGGAGTGTAGGAAAGGGAGAGAAGATCATCAGGCCTTTCCCAGAATCCTCTGCATACAGAAACCTGGCTCTCAAAAAGATTCTTTATGACGCTAAGTACATACGTACACACACACACACACACACACATATGCCTGCGTATACACACATGCACACAGACCACAGATACACACACACACACATATACACACAAGCACATACATATGCACACAGACACATACATATACACACATGTAGACAGAGATAAATATACACATAACACACATACAGACATATGCATACATACACATACATATACATGTTTGCACACATAGATACACAGAGACACACGTACACACATTCACACTTTGCCTCCATCTGCTAACACCCTTTTTACCTGGATTTTTATGGTCCTACTTTCCTGCCATGTTCCTACACCCGCTGCTCCCTCTTCCTTTCTTTTTCAATCCCATTATCAAGTTCAACAGGTGGAGCTCGTTGCAGACAGAGAGAACCCTCACACAGGGTGACCAGATGTCCTGGTTTGCCTAGAACAGGCCAGCTCCATACCTGTCTTCCAGGATAATTATTAATAATGCCTCCTTTCTCTCTAAAAAGTGCCCTCAGTTGGTTGACAAATTATGTTCCCCTGGGGGAAGGAGTCTGATATGGCTTGGAAAAGAAGCTAGGATTAAAACAGCACGGCTATGTGTGGGGCTCTTCCTTAACATTTCTCTGTCACACAGTCTTTACTCCTGCCTCCTAACAGTGCTGAAATTTGGATTTTAGGATCTTACTTCCGGCTCAGAAAATGAGAGGAACGACTCTGCCTCACAGCCCAGCAACCAGTCAGACGCGGGGAAGCAGGGGCCTGGCCCGCTCAGCACCCCCATCCCCGTGCATGCTGCTGTAAAGGTACGGACGGGCCCACTCCGCGCCCCAACCCCGGCACCCAGTGCACAGAGCCAGCTGGGCGCAGGGCTGTCCAAGTCAGGTCTGGCAACAGGAAGAGAGTCACACAGATCCATGTATAGGTTCAATCCACTAGGAACATCGCAAGACAGGGGTTGAGAAATGGGCCATCGGTGTATATGGACCACGATTCCACTGTTCGTGCGGCACAGCGTGAGTCTTCCCGGCAGAGGAGAAGCACGTATGTGTGCATTTCTTTGAGATCACAGCTCAGCCAGCATGTTCCTACTTAATGGACTTCATGAGCTCAATCTAGAGATAATACGGCTGATTGTAATGCACACAGGACTTGTAAGTGCCATAAAATAGCTATAGGGTGGTTGAATTTTATGCAAAGGAAGCAGACCTGAAGTCCTCACATGATGTAAAATCTGCATCATTTAAGCCAGTCTCCCTATGGAAACAGTAGACAAATAACTGGAAGCATTGTAGCATATTTTGGTTTAATTTCGCCGCATTATATCTAATAGCTCACAGAGTGCTCTCCCCTCAATCGACTGCCTGGGAGTCATTTGGCCTTCTTCAAAATATTTTATCCCAAATAACTTCTAATTAATTGGGGAGCATGTTTTCTCAGCTCTAGGGCCACCACTTAATGAATGGTGAGATGACCCTTATGAAATATTTTTTTAAAAAAAAGATCGTAAGTTGAGTAAGAATCAATGTTAAAGGAACAGCCTTGTAGTTCCCTTCACTGCATATGCACAAATGTGCTTCTCATGTTCTAAGTGGATGGCAGGCCTTCAGTTCCCCAGTAAAGCTCCTCCATCCAACTCAAGAGTTTAAACCTTGCCTACAACTCATTCAGCTCAACAGCTTTGAAATGAGGTGCCTATTGATGAGTTTTGTTCATTGCCGGTGGAGGGAGGAGGAGATGACTCACATTATCTCTAATGTGTGCGCAAAGAGAAGTTTTATTAATATTTCTAGCAAAGTATTTACATTTTGCATAACGCAAATGAGCAAAGCTTTCAGCCTCTCTGTCCTAAGGGAGCGTGATATTGCCCAGAGGGAGGACAGATCAATTTCAGTGGAGAGCAGGATTGATACCCAGCTGATCCAGCAGGACTGGAGTTTACGTAAGAGCCAGCATCCCATCTGATTAGTTGATGCCTGTGAATTCTCAGTTGTTAAATATTTATCATCTCTGAATTAAAAGGATACTAGAAGAGAGGATACTTCTCAAAGAAAGAGGCACCCGAGCTAGGGAAAAATATCTCTGCCCTGTTGACTTTATAAGGTTCATATGAGGCCAATGAGAGAATGCACAAGAATGCTCTTTGCAAACAATAAAATCCTTGTAAGAGAAAAGTGCTCTCAATGCAGGGTCTGAGGGGGTGCATATCAAACTTGAATAGAACATGATTCCTGCCCTCGAGGAGTCTACAGTCTATTTGGGTACCACAGCCACCATTAGCCCACATAATACTTTGAGCAAGTAAGAAAAATGTGCCCCAAAGGACTTGAATAGACATTTCTCCAAAGATAAACAAATTACCAACAAGCACATGAAAAGGTGTTCAGCATCATTAGTGATCAGGAAAATGCAACTTAAAACCACAGCGTAATACCACTTCACACCCATTAGAATGGCTATAATAAAAAAAAGGAAACAATGAGTGTTGATGAGGATGTGGAGAAATTTGAACCCTCATACATTGCTGGTAGAAATGTAAAATGGTGCATCTGTGTGGAACACAGTTTGGTAGTTCTTCAATAAATTAAATATAAAATTACTATATAACCCAGCAATTCTACTCCTAGATATATATACCCAAAGACATTGAATAAAGATGTTAAAGCAGAAACTTGTACAGGGCATTCATAGCAGCACTACTGCCAATAGTCAAAAGTCGAAATTAACCCAAATGTCCATCAACTGAAGAATGGATAAACATGGCATATCCATACGATGGAATATTACTCAGCCACAAAAAGGAGTGAAGTACTGATACATGAATGAACCTTGAAAATATGCTGAGTGAAAAAGTCAGACACAGAAGGCCACATATTGTATGATTCTATTTATACAAAGTGTCCAGAATAAGCAAATCTATGGAGACAGAAAGCAGATTAGTGGTTCCCAGGGGCTGAGGGAAGAGGAGAATGTGGAGTGACTGCTTAATGGGGATGGAGCTTCCTTTTGGGGTGTTGAAAATGTTCTGGAACCAGATAGCAGTGACACACAACACTGTGAATGTACTAAATGCCACTGAATTATATCCTTTAACATGGTTACTATGGTGATTTTTATGTTACTTGTATTTTACCATGATACAAAAAGAGAGCCCCCTTTGCTGGGCTGCCACAGCCCCCATCAGGGCTAATAGCTTAGGATGCAGAACGGGGGGCTGGATTTGAGTCTCCCTCCCGCTCCAGCAGGGTATGCAGTGTCGTGACCATTATCAGGCAGCCTCAAATGCCATATGAGACGTGCGGATGGGAGACATCGCTATGAGTTAGGAGAGACATCCCAGGTGAGCCAGGGTTTGAGCTGGCCTCGAAGGACGAGCCAGATTCAGACAACGAGTGGAGGAGGGAGTTGCAGACAGCAGAATATTATAAGGAAACGAGGCAGGAGGGGTAAGCTGTTGGAGAGGGGAGGTTCAGGCAGTTGGTGAACTGTCTTCTTTGGCAGACTAGAGTTCAGACTTCATCTTGCAGAGCAGGACAGGCAAACTGAATGTGGGCAGCTGGGGTGGTCTATTGTGTGGCAGGCCCAGTGTGTGTATGAGGGTTTGAATCAGAATGGCTTTAGGAAGTCATGCACTCTCTAGCCACGGGCTGCACCACTCCCTGTTGAATTACATACACTAATTTACACATTTGTGCCTGGGTCTTAAACCACGGGATTTTGGATCCATGTCTGCTTTAGAAAGATGAGTGTGCTCCCATCTATTTGCCATGCAGTTCTAGATAGACACAAAAACAAACCCACAACCTTGATATCCTCTGGTCTCAAAAAGACTGTGAAACCACACAGTTCCACGGACTCAGAGTTCCATGGGTTCAGTAGTCTTTGCCCTTCACTATCCAGACAAAATTGTCTGATTTTTTAGTACCTTCTGGAATGCTCAGAGTCTCTGTGCTAAGGCAACAGGGAGAGAAAATTCCTTAGCTCCTGACTTAACTGCTAGACTGGGGGCTGCATCTCCCCCAGACAAGGCAAGTCGTAGGAGGAGGTGGGAACGGAAGCCACGCTGGAGCAAAGCAGGGCAGAGCTGATTGCAGGAGCCTACAGAAATTCTCCCAAGTGCAGAAGACTGATTAATTAACTAGGATGCTAATCAATTCACGAGCAGAGAGAAATAGAGCCACCCAGCACATGGGAATACTTGTACTCCTTATTCACTGGTCTCCAAGAAGAAGCCTCCTTGAGAAAACACAAACAGGCTTGGTGGTGGGATGCGCTGAGTCAGAGAAAAGCAAGTTGTAGGCTCCTCTGGATCGGTCACATTCAGATGTGTGCGTTGTGGTGAAAATGGGGAAGCTGCCCAGTCACAACGTGCCTGCCAGCTATTCAGGAGCCCCCTCTTCTGGACACTACTGGTACCACACTTTCCCTCCAACTTTTCCCCCAAATCCTCAAGAATCTTCTGTCACCACATCCATGTTCTTCATTTTAACCTTCTGTAATGAAGTCAGGGTTTGAAAATTTATATTTTTTAACTGATTTCAGTATGGACCTATTGCTTCCCAATATATGGAGGCTTTTTGATTTCAGGAGCAGGTTATGGATATAATCACACTGTCCTTTGAGACCTGTTATTTCAATATTATCTTTTATCATCCGTCTAGTGATCACCGAGATAGAAAGTAGAGAATGTTTTCCCCAACTTGCAGATGAGGTGGCTGAGAGGTAGTCAAGTTAAGTCATTGTACCACATTCAAAAATTTGTCTTACCTTCCAAGCCTGTAACCTTAACTTTTTTTGATGTGTTTGAATCGTGCTCTAAGTGGGTAGCTTCTGGAAGGGTTCCCGTGGCTGGCTAACTGTTGCCATAGTAAGTAAAGTATCATTAGCTCAGAGGGGGTCACCTCTTGATCTTGTATCAGTATTTGGGGTGGTGGTAGGAGGGGGACTCTATCTTACATTTCAGCCTGAAACAACAAAAATACACATTCTGGATTTTCAAAGACAACCTTAATGCCATCTCAGTTTATGTCATTAGTAAGTCATCTTACTAAAGTGCCTGACTAGAGGTGATTACATGTATACGTATGAAAGAACTTTCTTATGACTCCATCCCAAGATGAGAGTGTATCCTTTATTAGGCCATCAGTTGGTTTTAGGTTAGGAAAGTGCCCTCACTGAAACATGGGCTTACATCTCTCTTTACACTGGGAAAGAAATAGTCTCGGAGCCACTTCTAGGATTCCAGATTCCCTGCCTAAGGAGTGTCCTTCCATTGTGATGCGTTTGCAGTACATTAGTTCATTGGAACCTTGATGTTCTAGAATCTCTCTGTGCGTCGTGCCTTTGCTGTATTTCCAGATGCAGGAACGTCCATCAGACAAAACCTCCTTGCGATATACTCGTGACACCAAGTCACTCCCATCCATCACCTAAACCACATGCTGTTTCTTCATCCTTTTTGCAGTCCAAGTCCTTGAGCGACAGTAAGAACCGCCACAAAAAGCCCAAGGACCCCAAGCCGAAGGTGAAGAAGCTCAAATATCACCAGTACATTCCCCCAGACCAGAAGGCAGAGAAGTCCCCGCCGCCCATGGACTCAGCCTACGCCCGGCTGCTCCAGCAGCAGCAGCTCTTCTTGCAGCTCCAGATCCTCAGCCAGCAGCAGCAGCAGCAGCAGCACCGGTTCAGCTACCCCGGGGTTCACCAAGCCCAGCTCAAGTAAGTCAGGGAGCCCAGGGTGGGGGCTGCGGGCAGAGGCTGAGAATGGCTTCTCTCCGTCTGAGGCCCACGGGGCCAGCACCTGGAGACCCAGCAAGTCCTGTCTTGCACCACATCCTCAGCCAGTGTGTTTAGAATATGACTCTGTTTAGAAACCATGCACATCTTTTCAGGAAGGTAAGGCTGGGAGGAAGCAAGTAAATCAATGCTCCTGATAATAATGGGCATAATGGGAGTTATGGGAAAAGGAAAGGTTTTAGCACTTCCAGATCGAATTGTGGAACAGGGAGGAGAAACCATCTAAGAATGTCATACTGGAATTGTGAGCAATTCCACTACAGGTTACATTTCTTGAACTGACTCAGCACTTATGCTTTAGGAAGCATGAGTCAATGAGTGGCACCCTCAAAGATGACTCCTGAGCCCCATTGTGTGACCTCATTGCCAGGTCACCTTTTAAATGGTCAGTCTCTTCAATTATAAAGTTGGGATGTGGGTTCCCTTACCAGTCTCTGTTCAGTTTTGGGTAGTGCTGGCCGGTATGCTGAGTGCTGAACACACTCAAGCTCCACATGGCCTGCTTCTGCCTCCCCAGGACAGTGCATCTGCTAAATCATAGATGGACGCACATCTCCCATATGCCAAAGTCTCCACCACTCCCTCCTGTCTCCCCGAAACTCAGCTTGAGGGTTACTTGCCACTTGCCATCTAGCCTTCACTGTTGTGTTTCCTCACCCTGCCTCTTCTGCTGATTTGTTACGCATCTGATCCTCGTAGACAATTAGCTTGTGATCAGATCTAAACGCAAGTTACCCCCTAAGAGTTTTGGTCACCCAATTCCAATGTGTGGGTTTTCTCTCCACACCACCAAGCAATTCTCGGACACCATTTGGGTGTCCTACAATTCAACTCAATTCTGGCACTCTTCTACCTGGAGATAACATCAGATTCTCCAGGTTAAGGGCTCAGTCCTACAGACTTCCCACTCCCCTACTTCAGATGCAGGTTGTCACCATGACCTCCTCCTTGCATTTGATTAATTTTTTAAAATAGCTCTGAGAAACATTTTGCATACTTGATTACTGGTTTATCATAAAAGGACATAACTTAGGAACAGCCAAGTGGAAGAAATGCACAAGGCAGGGTATGGGGAAAGGGCGCAGAGCTTCCATGCCCTCTCCAGAAGGCCACTCTCCCCAATATCCATGTGTTCACCAACCTGGAAGCTCTCTGAACCCCATCCTTTTAAGTTTTTATGGAGGCTTCATTACATAGGCACAATTGATTGAATCATCGGCCATTGGTGATTGAACTCAATCTCCAGCCCACCTCCTTTCCCGGGGAAGATGAGGGGTAGGACTGAAACTTCCAACCTTCTGATCACAAGGCTATTTCTCCTGGCCATCAGCCCTCATCCTTTGGTGCTTTCTAAAAGTCACCTTATTAACATAGCAAAACACACCTTTAAAGCTCTGGTCACTGAGGAAATTCCAAGGGTTTTAAAGAGCTCTGTGCCAGAAACCTGGACAAGATTCAATATATATTTCTTATATAAATCACAATATCACACCCTCACATAAATATTTGACCGTATTTTAAGTGCCTCTTTCTTGTTTGTTTTTCAGGGAACCAAACGAACAGATGGTCAGAAATCCAAACTCTTCAACAGCGCTGAGCAATACCCCTTTGTCTCCTGTCAAAAACAGTTTTTCTGGACAAACTAGTGTCTCTTCTCTCAAACCAGGTCCACTCCCATCAAACCTAGATGATCTGAAGGTATAAGATTTGCCATGATTTTCTTTTCTTTGTTTTTACAAGTGCATTTTGAACATCTTTATCAATTGATTTCTTGAGTAAAATAGTAGCAGGGAGAAGACTATGTCAGAGACTCGAGTAGGTGACAGAATTTTAACTGCTGTGGTTGAACACCCCAGAGAGCAGAAGGCCATAGGCTCCCAGCTCAGCTCTTTCACTGGCTGTGCAGCCTTGGGCTCGTTTCTTAATATTTCTGCATCTCGGATTCCTCATTTGCATAAATGAGATATTGTGAGAATCAAATAGAACTGTATATGTGACAGAGCTGAGCACAGAGAGAGGCTGTGAAATTGATATGAGCTTCCCCAGCGCTCTCAGACAATGGTCAATTCCATGATGAACTTTTACCAATCCCTAGTGAAATGAGAAAAATAAGACCCATTTAAAGAGCTTTTCATAAATCTAAGTGTGTTCAATATATGTGACTAATCTTTATTTAAAGTATTTATATCCTCCCAATGTTTTGAATGTTTAAATATCCTTTCCATTTGGAAATGATGACGGTAATAGATGGAAGTTGAATGTTGCTAGTAGAGTTCTGTTTGTTTCTTATTATTAAATAAGGATATTCTAATTTAACAAGATGAAATGTTGGTAACTCTATGTCAATTATATAATTTAAAGCAATGTACTGCTCTGAGAATTCCCCAAATCTGAGAACTTGCGTTCTGAAATGTAGCAGCAACTTGTTACATGATACATGTGTTCGTGACTTACTCTGTATCACAGACCACATGGATCTCAGTTCACTGAAGTGACAATGAGTTGAATCTGGTGTGTTTCAACACAGTCCTCAGGATTGGCATATTCGTTCATCTAGTATTTACAAAAGAACTGAAAGAGATGAATGCAGTGCCTTCGACTTCTCTGTGCATGCACACCTGTTCTCTTCAATGCTTCACTCAATTTTCAGTGACTACACCTGTTTACCTGGTTGTCACTCCATGTATTACTCCTCCCTAAGAAGATCTTATCATTTTTCCCCAAAAAATTCATTCCTAAAGGTCCCCCTAGTCTTCATTGCGGCAATCTTATGGCTGTTCCTCAGTCCGCATTTGTCACCCTCATTCCCATTCTCTGTCTTCAATCATTATCTTCTTTGGGGGAAAGACAGGACTGGGATTTCAAATTAGGGAAAATTCTATGGTTGCCAAGTGTCAACACCAGTAAGTAAAGCCCTGACATCAAACTTTCCTCTAGTCCCTCCACTTGGAATAAAAATGCTTAGGTTTCATGGGCCTTGTTTCCATTTGGTACCCATAAACCTAGAAGAGGATGCCAAGCTTATGATACTGCTCTCCAGAGCAGCGTGTCATCCACCCTCCCCTCCCCAGGTCATGAATCCGTAGGGATACAACTGGGCTCTCTCACCTTGAAAACATTATGCGCAGTGAAATGAGCCAACACAAAAGGACAAATATTGTATGATTCCACTTATATGAGGTACCTAGAGTGGTCAAATCCGTAGAGAGGGAAAGTACAACGTGGTTGCCAGGGGCTGGCAGGAGAGGGGAATGGGAGTCAGTGTTTAATGGGTACAGAGTGTCAGTTTGAGATGATGAGAAAGTTCTGGAGTTGGATAGTGGTGATAATTTGCACAACAGCGTGAATGTATTTAATGCCACTGAACTGTACACTTAAAAATGATTAAATAGTAAAGTTTGTGTTATAAGTCTTTTACCACAATAAAAAAGATATTTTAAAAAGTAGTCTACGTCTGAATGGGATTCTGGACTAGGCAGGACTGGAGATGCCATGGCCCCAGAGAAAACATAGTCCAGATATGATGCGCCATCTGTCAGAGCCCCCAAAGATGGATTCCTCAGTGTGCACATGCTCTGAATCATAGGCTGATGGAGATGATAGTGGCAACTACCATTTTTTGTGTATAAACTATCAGTCCACCATCCTATATAGATTTGCTTTAATTTTCACCCTGCAAGATAAGTTTTATTTTCCTAATTTTAAACAGGATCATAAAAATCAGAATCTTAAAGAGGTTAAATGATACGCAAGTTACCCAGCTTACAAATGACAAAACAGGGGCTTGAACTCAAGTGACGGACTTCGAAGGGCTTGCTGTGGTCATTCAAGATGAGGCTGGAAAGAGAGAGACAGATGGGAGAAACCTTAACTGAACTTGATCACCGGTGTATGGGGAGAGGTGTTACCTGAGAGAGTTACACCAGGGGTGGAAATTGGGAGGGTAGAATGAGGAGCTGATTTGAAGGGACTTTGGGAAGTTCATTCACTTTGGGAAAGTTGAATCGCAGGTACCAGCAGCACAGCCAAGAGAACAAGTCTAGCCAGTTTCCGTCAGCTGGAAATATACCAACCTAGTTCGGCTCAACTGTGTTGTCAGGAAGAGGAACGGAAATTTCCGAATCGTTTGCCTTCTGAACAAAGGGTTGAAACTAGAAGAGTGAATGAGATAGAGGGGGAGCAAAATGAAAGAGTGGGAGGAAAGGATGGAGTGGGGAGAAAAGGAGGGAGAGAGGAGGAATAAAGGAAGCAAATGATGTAACCACATTTTGGGAAAGGAAAAAAATAAGAGGAATTAACGAAGGTGATCCTTAAAAAAAGAAATCAGAAAGATAAGGTAATGAAGGTGATATTTTCCAGAAATGGTCACGCTTGGCTACGTAGGAGTAAAAGGGAAAAAGCACTGAGGGAAGAATTTGATTTCTCATTAAAAAGCTATAAATGGTAATATCACAGTGTATGGAATTTTTCGCATCCTGTTTCTAACAAACTGGGGAATGAGAGACAGAGAGAGAATGTGAAAGTGAATGAGAAGTTTAAAAACTGAGAGAATATTTGATGTATATTAGGAAATAATTGTTCATATTTTTTAGGTGTGTTAACAGTCTTGTATCTGTGTCTTTAAAAAAGTACTTATCTTGTAGACAAAGATACCAGAATGCTTGCAGATTAAATTATTTGATTTGCTTCAGTATAATTCAGGAAATGGGGGAGAAGGAGTGGTTTGGGTATAAATGAAACAAGATTGGGCCATGAGCTGATCCTTGAAGCTGGTTGATGAGTATATGGGGTTCATTATACTTTTCTATCTACTTTTGTGTTACTTTTGAAATTTTTTGTAATACTTGGTTTTAAAAGTTATCAATAATTAAAACACCAGTGAATGTAGGAAAGCGGTGTATACAAACCTTTGTCCTCAGCAAGCCCATACAGCATAATATTCTGAAATTTAAGGTAAACGGAACTCAACAAGTATTTTTCATTTTATTTTAGAATATGAGCTGCATTATTTAATAATGTAGTTTAAATTATTCAGTGCCAGAACAGATTCTAAAAATAAATGTAGAACTCATTAATTTTAAGTAATTCAAAATTCAAACAATCATGAGTTGTCATCTTGCACTTTTTCAAACCAGCAAGTCCAAAAGAAAATGATAAAACGATGCTAGCAAGACTAAGGGAGAGAGAGCGTATTTATTGCTTTGGTGGTATAAGTTATTGCAATCCTTTTTCAATAACTTTTAGCTGGTCATAAAGTAATACATATTCACTAGTGAAATATGATACTGTACAGAAAAGTAGAGTATTTTAAAAGAGGATTGATTTATAGATACCATTGCAGGTTATGTTCCCTTCTAGACTTAAAATGTATATGGACATGTTCTGTTCCAAAATAATTATGTGAGCATAAAATTCTGGCATGCTTTCTTGTTTAACATATCATTAACATTTTTATAGCTTTTAATATTTAATAAAATTTTTATTTTTAATAGCAGCATATTGTTTTAACCACCCAGTTGACAATCCTATATTGGACATTTAACGTATTTCCCAATTTTTGCTGGTAAAAATATGATTTTTACATACATTTATTAATGTCACTGATTATCTTCCCAGGCTAGATACATGGGCGGCGTGGAATTCCTTAACCAAAACATGTTAATATTTTTAAAAATTCTTGATACCTATTGCCAAATTTCTGTCCTGATCTTTTGTGCCAATCTATTCCCAGAAGCAGTGTGTTAAAGCCACACTTGTCAACCATGAATGTCACACTGACCCCTGGGGCCCTGGGTAAAAGGCAGATTCCATTCAGTAGGTGTGGGGAGGAGCCTGAGAGTCTTCATTTCTATCGCGCTCCGGGATGGTGTGGATGCTGCTGGGCCGAGGACCACACTTGGAACAGCAAGACATTAAAGAGCTGCTTTTTATTTTTTTCCAACGTTTTCATTTATTTATTTTTGCTGCTACTTCACTAACACAAAGTGTTATTATCAATTTCTTTGTCAATTTGATGAATACGAAAATATGTCTGTATTTACTTTATTTGCATTTCTTAGGTGACTTGTTATGGGCATTTTTTAAGAAATTTATCTTTTGTTCTTGAAGAGCTGGACCACGTCCGGTACTCATTTTTATATTGAGTGTCAATCTTTTTCTTTTGAGTTGTTAAGCACACTTGATCCATTGAGCTTACTAACACTTTATTATTTGTCCTGAAATTTTTTTCTGAGATTGCTATTTGCATTTGCATTTTCTTTTTAGTATTTTCACTTATAGGAGTTTTCAATTTTTGTTGTCAATATTTTTATGATTACTTTCTTTGCTTTTATGCTTGAAAGATCTTCCCCTACAGAATATCAGACGAATATTTCCTTATATATTCTAGCTGTTTTATGGAATTATTGACAGTTAAGCATTTAATATGTTTCCCATTTTAAGTACAAATTAATATGTGCGCCTAGAATATTGAGGAGATGCAGATAAGCAGAACCACTGTTAACATTTTAGCATATGTTTATCCAGATATTTTCATCTACAAGCATACTTTTAAAAATATATATCACAAATATATTTATATAATTCTTAGAAAAATATAATCAACAATTCAAACTTTTTTCACTTAATACTATACTATGAACAATTATTTATTATTCTATATCAATACGTATTTATGGCATCAGTTTTAATGGATCTCAAATATTCAAATCATCATTTGCATGCACGTCATTTATTTAGTTTCCATATTTTTAGATATCTGTAGTTTATAATTTATGAACATTATAAAAAATGCAGGGATGAAATAATTACATGAGAATCAACATAATAATAATAGCAAACACTTACACTGCACTAACCATTTGCAAGGCACTATTCCAAGTGCTTTACAAATTTTAAGCCATTTTAACCCTCTCAGAAATGTATAAGGTTGGTATGATTATCTCCATTTTACAGAAGGGGAACTGAGACACAGAGTGATCACTGAGCTGGTTAAGAGGCAAGGCCAGGATTTAAATTGATGGTCTTATCTCTGCACATACTCTCTCTCAATGTATGACTATTATCCAGCCAGTCGTTAGGACATAAATGTTAATGTGGAACCGTGGTTCTCAGACTCTGGTCTGGGATCAGCAGCATTAGCATCCCCTGGGGCCTTGTTGGAAATGCACATTCTCAGTCCTCACTCAAGACCCAGTGAATCAGAAACTCAGGGATGGAGCCCAGCTGTCTGTGCTGTAACCCCATGGCCAGGCATTCTGGTGCCTGCTCAGGTGTGAGAACCATCCACAGAGAGAGCATGGTAGGGAGAGCACCTCGCCAGGAAGCAGAAGACCTGGATTCGCAGGTTGCTTTGGGATGCGTGGTTTCTGGCTGACGTCTAAACCCAGGCAGACATCCGTTTTTCATCTATAAAATGGGGATCAGGACCGGGATGCGGCTTGGAGGGCAGTAGACCACGTTCATTTGAGCTCTATGATTCTATGATTCTGGGATCACGAAAACACAGTGTAAGATAAATTAAAAGACAATCATTAAAATTGTGTAAAACGTATTTATATGGAGAATAGGGGAAGAAATTGTAAAAAAGTAATAAAAAGAGAAGAGGACATTGTGAAATTCCATTTGTGATGTTTTAAAGCTAATGTAACAATAAATACATTTTTTAAAAGATTGTCATGAAACAGCACACTAACAATATCTTGGTTTCCTTAGGTCTCTGAATTAAGACAGCAGCTCCGCATACGGGGTTTGCCAGTGTCAGGCACCAAGACAGCCCTCATGGACCGGCTTCGGCCCTTCCAGGACTGTTCTGGGAACCCCGTGCCCAACTTCGGTGATATAACAACTGTCACCTTTCCTGTGACGCCGACCAACACGCTGCCCAATTACCAGTCCTCTCCTTCCACCAGCGCCTTATCCAACGGCTTCTACCATTTCGGCAGCACCAGCTCCAGCCCCCCGATCTCGCCTGCCTCGTCTGACCTGTCAGTGGCGGGGTCCCTGCCCGACACCTTCAACGATGCCTCCCCATCCTTCGGCCTGCACCCATCCCCAGTTCACGCCTGCACAGAGGAGAGCCTCATGAGCAGTCTAAATGGGGGCTCCATGCCTTCCGAGCTGGACGGGCTGGACTCCGAAAAGGACAAGATGCTGGTGGAGAAGCAGAAGGTGATAAATGAGCTCACCTGGAAACTCCAGCAAGAACAAAGGCAAGTGGAGGAGCTGAGGATGCAGCTGCAGAAGCAGAAGAGGAACAACTGTTCTGAGAAGAAGCCACTGCCTTTCTTGGCTGCTCCCATCAAGCAGGAAGATGCAGTCTCCAGTTGCCCTTTTGCATCCCAACAAATAGCTGTGAAAAGACAAAGCAACAGCTCAGAAGGCCAATCGCCAGCTTGTGAAGCTGCTCAACTCCTGCCCCTTGGGAACACTCATTGCGCGGAGCCCTCAGGTCAAACCACCGTACTTTCTTCCACATTTCTCAGCCCACAGTGCTCCCCTCAGCATTCACCACTCGGGGCTGTGAAAAGCCCCCAGCATATCAGTTTGCCCCCATCGCCAAACAACCATTACTTCCTACCCTCCTCTTCAGGCCCTCAAGGAGAAGGGCACAGGGTCTCCTCACCTGCCGGCAGCCAGGTGTGTACTGCACAGGTAAGGACTCCTTGCCCCATGCCCAGTGCACCTCTCTTTCTGGCAGTGGGATATGGATTTGCAACTGCTAAGGACTTGACATTGGAACTTTTAACAGGAGGGGTTTACCAAAAGCCCAACGGCAGCTTCCAGACTCCACGATGGTCTGCAAGCCTTCACAGTAGACCAAACTCACTTCTCTGAGCCCACGGTTGGCAAACTTGTTCTGTAAAGGGCTAGATAATAAATGTTTTTGGCTTTATGGGCCAAATGTTCTCTGTCACAACTACTCAACTCTACTCTGGTATTATGAAAGCAGCCATAGACAACTTGTAAAAAATGCACATGGCTGTGTTCCAATAAAACTTTATTTATAAAAACAAGAAGTGGGCCAGATTGCCGACCCCTGTTTTCAGGACTCCTTGGCATAAAGCCTTACCAAATGCAAAACCAATTCACCAAGAAACCCAACAGGGAAGTTGCCAGACCTTACTGTTCTCTCCATGTAATGGTCTGCAGTGCAAATAGTTACTGAGCGCCTCCTGTGTGCCAGGCCCTGTTCTAGACTTGGAGGATTAGTGCTCAACTAGCCAAACAAAAATCTGTATTCTCATGGGAATACAGACAGTAAATATAAGTAAACTATATAATATATCAGAAGAGGATACATCTTACGGAAAAAAAGCAGAGAAGTGGGTTGAGGAGGTTGGAAGTTTGCAACTTTAAGCAGAAGGGCGAGAGACATTTGAGCAAAACTTGGAAGGAAGTAAAGGAGAAAGCCTTGTGAATATTTGGGATGAAGGCATTCAGGCAAAGGAGGAACAGCAAGTGCAAGGGCCCTGAGGTAAGAGCATGTGTAGAATGTTCAAAGATCAGAAAGAAGGCCAGTATGGCTGGAGCACAATGAGAGGAGAGTTGCAGAAGATGGCTTAGAATAGTAACTAGTTCAAAGACTAGACCAAGGTGATCATCAAAGGCTTTCCTTTTGTCTACAAAGCTGAAGAATTATTAGGAAAGTCTATTTAAGTCTATCTGAGAAAGAAAATTGCATTATCAAAAGGTTCTGAAATCATGTTATTAGAAAGAGAATAGGAAGAAAACTCACACTAATTGGATACCTGACACGTGTCAAGTATTAGGAGGCAAGTATATGAGTAATCTCATTAATTGTCACAACAACCTTCTGAGTTCCTATTTATTATTCTTTATTTGAGGAAAATGAGGCTCAGGGAGTTTAAACCAGTTGCCCAGGACCACACCAAATTATCTGATTCTAAAGTGCATGCCTTTCTCACACTGAATGTTCTCTACCCTGGGAGTCTGAGGTGTAGCCATAGTTTATGATAATCTATTTTTCCGAAGCTACCAGAGCAACACATTCAAATGAATGATGCCCACTCCTGAGTGGGCACTTTGGGAGGAGTTGGGACTTTAATGGATTGTCATCATCGTTGACAACCTGTATTGAGTGCATAGTGTCCTAGGCAACAAAGGTAAAAATAGCTCTTGAACATAGCTCTGGACCATAAGATGCTCAGTTCTAATGATATTGATATTATCAAGAAGAACTAACATTTGTACAGTAATTTGTGGTTTACAAAGCACTCCTGGAAGGCGTGAATGCTTACATGATAAAAAGATAAAGAGCAATAATATTGGATAACATTACTGATCTGTGCTTATGACATTAAATGCTGCATAAAGCATTTTGAGGGGGGAGGCAGCTTGATGAAGGGTTAGAAAAGTCTGGGAAGCCTTGCCAAAAGGGTTGGACTTAATGAGAAGTATAGAGTTAAAAAAGAGAGTCAGGAGAAGGGCATTCCATATGAAAAAAGATACGGAGGTAGAAGGTACGGGGCATGCTGAGGGAAGCTCATGTTGGGATTAGTAGAATTTAAGCTTCCAGAAGGATGTAATACTTGACTGTGGAGAGTCTGGAACACTTATCCTGGTTAGAAATGGAGACCCTATACTGTGGATATGTGGGAGCCATGCAAAGTTTTCGAGCAGTGGATGATATGTACCAAGGCAGATCTGAAACTGTGGTAATGGAATTTAGGCAGGTTTGAGGCGATAAGACCCCAGGGCCAGGGCCAGTAGTCTCAGCAAAGGCTACTCTCAAGTATGCCACTAGTGCTCATTTAATGTTTTGCTTCTTTCTTTCTACAGAACTCAGGGGCACACGAGGGCCATCCTCCAAGCTTCTCTCCCCAGCCTTCCAGCCTCCACTCCTCTTTCTCTGGAGCCCAGGCAGACAGCAGTCATGGTGCTGGGTGCAACTCTTGTCCCAAAAGCCCAGGTGTACAGCAAAAGGTAGTCACCTGGAAAAAGGTTTAAACTTGGCATTGACTTTCCCTCTTCTCTCTTCTGTGGCTCCTCTCCTCCAAATGATGAGGTTCGAAGGCAGAAATAAATGACATTTTAGATAAAATCAAGTCTACTTGAAAAGGACTGAAATGGATGTGCAGATATAAGTTAGAATATTCCAAAAGGTATTTCCTGGGGTCACCCCAGAAGTTGTGATGACTAAAATGGCCATGGTATGTTTGTGAACCAAGATGGCGAACAAACCAGTTTTAGTAGAGTTGAAGACTGGAATAAGGGCATATAGGAAAATAAAGTTGGAGAAAGAGGAAAGTACTGGATTCGTGGAAATGACAGGAGAGGTACAGAAAGTTGGAGTTACAGTGCAATATCTCTGCAAAAAAAGAAGGGATGATACATATCAGCAGGTGGAAGAATCAGGGATGTGAAGGATCCAGGATATGGGGAGTTGCAAGGAGCAGTGAAGAGGTGACAAGAAGGAGGCAAATATGAGACGGCTATGAGACAAAAGTGCTACATGCCACCAGTCAGGGCAGGGCGTCCTTTGGGGACAGAGACCCTGAAATGGCGCAGGCACTCCACAGAACACACAATACACAAGACGGGTTCACGAAGAGACACTCCAGCAGTGCCTCCAACTCTCTGCAAATACACTCAGGAATGAAACGACCTGGGTGATAAATTACTCTGGAAATTCCTGAGTTGATGGACTTTATCGGACTGGACTCTATTGCTTTATTTCTGTTTCTCGTCTCCCTTTCTCCTAACAGACAGGCTATACTTTAGGAGGGGAAATGAACCTGCGAGGTTCCCATCCTAAGATGCCTCCAGCAATGTGTACATAGTGATATGTAGTCTTGTTAATATATTGGAGTTGTTTTCTAAGCCCTAGCTGTTTTTTTCCCCTTCAATCAATTATTCCAAAATTTGGCCTTCTGGTTTCTGAAACAGAAGCAGTACCATTTCTGACCCATGAATTGATTGTCTTTCTCTGCATTTTACCCACACAGATGGCTGGCTTACACTCTTCTGATAAGGCGGGACCAAAGTTTTCAATTCCATCCCCAACTTTTTCTAAGTCAACTTCAGCAGTTCCAGAAATAACACAGCCTCCGTCCTATGAAGATGCAGTAAAACAGGTAACTCCATGACTTGTTCTTCATAGAAGAATAGACTTGACTAAGTAGACATTGTCTTACATGATTCAGCTTCATGCATGTAGATTCTGATATGAGTGTGTCTGGTGCCTCCCCACCCGAATGAGCAAAGTGTCTAGGCGCTAATTGTAGAAAGGTGTTGTGTGTGTATAAAAGCTATGTGAGGCAGAGAGAGGAGATTGGGCTGGGCACCCAGATGCCTGGACTTAGTGCCAGCTCGGCCACTAGCCAGCTGCCACTGCCAGTTGGGCAAGTGCTCAACTTCTCTTGTGTAAAATACGGCCAATATCTGCTTCGTAAGGATTCTAGATAATGTAGCACTTACCACATAGTCCAGGGACAGGATAGGTACTCAAGTATACGAGAGCAATTGTCAGGGTGACACTTTCTAATGTTCTTCCTAGCTTCAAAATTCAGTGATCCTGGCAAAATATTGATGGCCGTGCAGCCTGGGTAATAACGGAGGCTCATTGTATCCTTTGTTTTCGCTCATGTTTGGAAATTTTCAAAATAAAAAGTAGAAAAGAAAAGAAAAACAATTAATAAACTCATATTTCAAATGATCTGAGCTTGGATAAAGTATTAGAAGGACCTTCATTTGTGCTCAACTTAGAAAAGAACATCTACATCTGTTGCTGCATCCTGGTATCCTGCAGATCAAAATCAGCCTGCAGTTAGGTTTCGTTTGGCTGAGAAAGCGTTCTAAATATCAGGAGATCTTAGGCAAAAAGTGGGGTTTCTCATTTATGAAAAATTAGGGAATCTGGCAATACTGGAGCCTCATTTCTGCCAGACAACAGTTTTCTGAAACAAAGTATCCACTGCCTCCTTGAACTAGGCATATGTTCTACGCTCTGCCCCTCTCTCTTGTTCTGTAGTTGGCTCATTTACATTACCTGCCAGGCCCTCTGGGCATCTAATGCCTCCTGGACTGGCAAATGACTCATTCTTTGAGCAGCGTTCCATTTGTATTGACTACTGATGCCTGTGTTTATTGCACTGGGCTCTTAGAGGAGGGAGACAGATACCTCCCTCTGTTCTCCCCACTTCCTTCCCCTGGTTTCTGTAAGCATCAACTGATCCTTCACAGTTTCAAAAGAAGAGGGCTAAGCAAAGTGGATTTCCATAAACAAGACTACTTAACAACTCAGATGAGCCAGAGGGGAGTGGTGTATACCCTAAACGGGTCAACAAGTTCCACAGGCTACTTTGATGAGGAACCAGGGAAATGTGAGCCACGTTCTTGGGCCAACACCCAAACAGGAGGCCGATCCAAGTCACTTCAAAGTGAGAAAAAGGACCATACTACCTGTGCATTAAGATGCCCTGCTTCTGAGATGGAAACCTCTCAAACAACTGAACTCACTCTGAAGGCCTCTGTGCTGGGAGCATTCTGCCTTCCTCTCCCCTTCGCTTGTTATAGTAGATTGTTTCATTCAGTAGTTTTCCTGTCTAAAATTAATACTGTTTTAATCACACAAGGTCCAAAAATCTTTAGCCAGACACACCCATGTTCATAGCAGCATTGTTCATAAAAGCCAAAAGTTCGGAGCAGCCCAAGTGTCCATCAGTGGAAGAATGGATAAAGCAAATGTGATCTATACGTACAATGAATATTAGTCAGCCTTACTTAACAAGGAAGGAGATTCTGACACGTGCTATGACATGGATGAACCTGGAGAACATTATGCTGAGTGAAATAAGCCAGTCACAAAAGGAAAAGCACTGTATGAATCCACTTATCTGAGGTATCTAGGGTAGTCAAATTCATAGGACGGAAAGCAGAATGGTAGTCGTTAGGGGCTGAGAGGAGGAGAAGGGGGAGTTAGCATTAATGGGTACAGAGTTTCAGTTTTGCAAGATGAAAAAAGTTCTGGAGATGGATGGTGGGGATGGTGGCACAACCATGTGAATGCACTTAATGCCTCTGAACTGTGTGCTTGAAAATAGTTGAGATGGTGAATTTTATGTTGTGTGTATTTTACCACAATTGGGGGGGAAAGCCCTCACCAAATCTAGTTTAGAAACCTGTAGTGCTGCTTCTAATGATTTTCCGCGGAAGAGGTAGCCACCTTATAACTTCTCTGGTCTTCTTTGGTTAATTTACGACAGCAAATGACTCGGAGTCAGCAGATGGATGAACTCCTGGATGTCCTCATTGAAAGTGGAGGTAAGACTGCCCTGTGTCTTGTCCATCAGGAGACTCTGCACCTGCGCGTACTCTAGGGAGTGAACCCTTAGGACCAAGGTCAGATGCTCATTGTAAGTCAGACCAAAAAGCCATTTATGGGTAGAGGGTCACTTCATCTGAGCTCCATGGCCACATTTGGAGCAGATAAAAGAAGCCATAGTGGGTGATTCCTCATTGCCTTTGTTCCTTTATCCTGGAACATTTTTCACCAGTCCTTTTAATAGTTTTCATGTTTCACTTCGGTCTTTGTTTCCCTAAATGTCGTCTCTTGCTACACCATTTCTCTCTGCTGTTCTATTCCCAATGTCCCTATCTTCTCAATTATAAGAAGAAGAAGAAAGCAGATAAAGCAAGTTTTATGCTATCTACTCAAAATGAAATTCCGTTAGCAATCTCCCACTGGATGATCCCTTCATGATTAAACATCATTCAAGCTAGCTACAAAAAATGACCAACATGCCCTTTTTGCCTCCTTTTAAGTCATTCATTTATTTATTTAAAAAAAATTACAGAGTATGTGCCTAGAATTTGAGAGCACACAAATGAATAAGATCGTGTAAGGAGAATATATAGGTAAAAAGGAAAGGCCTCAGGTCTGAACCCTTAAGCAACAACAGGTAAATTTTCCGAGAAGGAGCGGCCTGGCACTAGGCTCAAGGCTACACCAGACAAAGACTCCACTTTCATGGAGTTCACAGTCTGGTTAGAAAGATGGACAACAGCAAGTGAACAGGCATTTCTTCCATTGCAACAAGAGGGAAGAAGGAAAAATGGGCGCAGGTATATGTATCTTTATACATTTTCTGATGGAAAGATGAGAAGGTTCATATCAGACACCCTTATATTTTTAATGAAGTATGTGGCAAGGTCAGCAAAGAGTGGCAGTGCAGGAGGGGAACATGGGAGATTGGAGGAAAGAAGAGTGGTTATGAACCAATCATGAATGAATTGAGTTTTCTGGAGAAACACAGTAGGGTTGCAGGGCAGTGTTATGTGCCAGTTGTAGGCTTGACATCATGAATTTAAAGTGAAGCCAGTCAGCTTCATTGTGTAATTTTTCTCTTGTAACATCCAGCTTATCCAAGGCGGGCTCAGAGAAAACACATGATAAGATCTTCCAGGTGTGGGATTTTGCCAAGGGAATATCATGAAAGGAGAAAAAAGCCAGGGGCTTGAGAATATTTATAAGAGAGTAATTATAGTGGTAGATCAGAAGTGAAAGAAGTAAAAACCAGAAGGCGCTGATGGGTGGTGATAAAATAGTAGTCAGTAGACTGGAGTGACCGCAAGTAGCTGAGAAATTGCTGTCATGGAGTACTTAATAAGTGAGCTGGAGGAATGGGAGGGGATGGACAGAGAGTGGGAAATTTTGCTTGAAACTGAGCTTTCAGAGGGATGCAGAATTTGGGAATGATGAGGCCCAGGGTGTGTCTAACAGAGTGGGAATGGAGGAAGCGCTGGAGTTGAGGGGGATGGGCTGTCAAGGTACTGAGAGGCCAGCTGGACAATGGGTTACTTCTGCGGATGCTGAAGTCACAGAGAATGACAAGAGTTGAAGGGGAAAAAAGGCAATAAACCAGGGAATAGAGTTTTCAGTCTATGATGAGGAGTGACCAGGAGACTGGGAATGGGGAAAGCAACATGACCCCAGGAACCACAGAGGAGTTATAAGAGGGAGACAGTGTGTCAGAAAGTGGCAATGGATGGCACCTGATGATTCGTCTTCTGGCTCTGAAGTAAATGAGCCCCATGGAGGGAGGGGTGTAACATAGAATGTAGTGTCCTCAGCAAACAGCCAGGTGTCAGTGAAGGAGCAGGTAACGGAATCTGCTTTGAGAGTTTGATAATCACAGAGTGGAATTCCCAGAAAAGGTCTGGGGAGAGACCAGAGGAAGGAAGAACTGAGGTTATATAGGGCAGCTGAGGGAGGAGACTGGGTGATGAGCAATGACCAGAGAAGCGTGGCCATCTCCTGTGTCTAAGTGTAACTCATTCATTCCAAGGATTCATATTGTGTGATCGAACAATTCCCATTGTGTTTTACCAACAGAAATGCCAGCCGATGCCAGAGAGGATCATTCATGTCTTCAAAAAGTCCCAAAGATCCTCGGGTCTTCCCGAAGCCCTACTGCTGCCCTCCCCAAGCCCTCGGCGTCCTTTGAACACACGTCTTCGGGAGGCCAGCTCCCCTTCGATCACTATGGCACCGACAGTGATGAGCACCTTGAAGTCTTGTTAAATTCCCAGAGCCCCTTAGGAAAGGTGAGCGATGTCGCCCTTCTAAAAATTGGGAGCGAGGAGCCTCCTTTCGATGGGATAATGGATGGATTCTCTGGGAAGGCTGCAGAAGACCTCTTCAATGCACACGAGATCTTGCCAGGCCCCCTTTCCCCAATGCAGACTCAGTTTTCACCCTCTTCTGTGGACAGCAATGGGCTGCAGCTAAGCTTCACTGAATCTCCTTGGGAAACCATGGAGTGGCTGGACCTCACTCCACCAAGTTCCACACCAAGCTTTAACTCCCTCACCACCAGCGGGCCCAGCATCTTTAACATTGATTTCCTGGATGTCACGGATCTCAATTTGAATTCCCCCATGGACCTTCACTTACAGCAGTGGTAGAATGCCTGATGCAAAAGTGCTAAGGAAGACCAATAGGAATTCCATGGGACAGAGCACACACCCATAAATACTGATGTTATCCAAAGGAGGAGGAGGAGGAGAGGAGGAAGAGGAGGGAATTAAAAAGAAGTAATGGAGACTTCTGTGACAATCAACAAGAACAAATAGGAGTCTTTTTTTATATAGATAATGTAATATTTACCAACATTCAGTAACTGTTGATGATTTCAGCAATGCATTCAAAAATATACTTTCTCAGATCAGAATGCCAAAACCAAAATTCTTTCACTGCCTTTTCAAACACCAGTATTTTTTCTAGCCCATAATTTTTCTCAGGCATTGTTGGGGCATAATCTCACATTGTAAGCTCTTCTCATGAATTTATTAGATGTACTGTGGAAAGAAAATGTAAACTCTTTGGGGAGTACAGGGAAGCCTGTCCGTCAAGGGTTATGGAAGACATATCCATGATGGAGGCTGCTTCTCATCTCTCCATTACCTGTCTCTCAAAATAGAAGTCAGGCCCACCTTCAGTTAGGGAGTTCTTGAGGCAGTATAGAGGGACAGGACCAATACATTCCCAGGAAGGTGAAATCAACTCAGTGTCCCTCAGCCACAAGGCTGCCCCATTGGAGTGGTTTCCAATCCTGTATCCAGGACTCTGTGTGATCACTGATAACAGCAGATCTGCATTTGGTCCAGAGAACCCCACCCAGAACTTCTCTCTTTCTTAACCAGTAGCCGAGTCACTCCCACTGTCTCTGCGGCGACAAGCATTGAGAAACAGGGGAGAACCCTAAAGCCAAAATAAACCTCTTGCTATAGAAGGTTCTCTAACACAACCCCCTTTAGTTCCAAAGACCAGAGATGACCACGTGAGCAGATTGGAAGGATCTCTCTAGCTTCAGGAAGCCAAATCAGGGATAATTTAGATAGGACTAGAGAACATCGTTTCACATATCACGGGAATAAATACCTTGGGTTACTATAATAGGATTGCTTATGGAGGGTCCAACTTCTTTTTCTGTGTGGGGGCGGTCCACCTCAGTTTTTCTTTCTCCCACTCTGCTTTTCTTTCAAGATACCAATCCTCTCTTCCTCCTCTTTTGAAGATCTTTCTTTTTCTGCACCAACAGTGGGAGAAGAGGACTTCTCAGATCTAACAAGCTGACATACTCCCAATAAAGCCATAAATTCAAAAGCTAAAAGTCTGGGTTCTCCTGGAGAACTCACTGACCTTATGCATAATTTGCTGAAACAGGAAGTTGAAAGAATGTCCTTAGGAAGAAACTGGTGACTTGGCCCATCTGTCACAAAGCTCATTCTACCCTCATTTGATTTACAGCAATCATTGATTTGTGTTGCTCTGGGGAAATTGGAAATCATTCTATTGTAAAGATAAATATGAATTATATTTACAAGGAGAGAGCATTTTAGGTCTGGGTTTCTGAAAGAAAACACAATTGCACACTGAAAATGATGGAAGAAGAAAAGACGATTGTCTCATGCATTCCTCATTACCTCTCGTGCTTTTCGTGCTTTCGCTGGGAGTTGAAAAACTCAAATTACATGACAGTCCCTCTAAAGCTCTCTGTGGCTCCACCCACCGTTTTATATACAGTGTTGCATGCTGTAGAAAGTAGCTACTGCTGTTTTTTTTTTAATTTAAATCACTAAGGCACTGTTTCTTGTTTTGTAAAAAAATGTTGTTCACTGTGCACTTAAGGAGAAAATAACCAAAAACGTTGTGATTTTAGAAGTTCTTTTTTTGATAAACCAAAGATTTAGAAGTCATTCCATTGTTAACCTGTAAATGTGTGTGAACACGGAGTGTTTTTGGTGACTGTGACTCTGAAAGCTGCCAGATCTTACTGGGGCAGTGGGGGGGAAGGTGTATGTATATATATACACACACATGCAAATGTGTATAGATGTATACATATGTATATGTATTTGTGTGTATGTATGTACACATATAAATACACACACATGTATATGTATATATAGACACATATGCATGTTTGTGTATTTTGAAAAGCAGTGTTACAGAGTTCTATACCAAAAACCTTTAAGCCTCAATCTGCTGTGAAATGATATGGCCTTTCTCACTACAAGTTCCTGATTAACCAACCAGACTCCACGTTGCCTCTCTGTGTATGACTAAGGGCTCCAGCCCGATGACTCACAGCCACTTGCTTATCATCAACATGCTCATCTTGACAATGAATATGGACGTGAAACGACAGAGGAGCTTCACCATTAGTAGCTGGAAACAGTAATACAGTATCTTATAGAAGAGCATAAAAGGAACATGAAAATCGTTTTTACATTCCTTGGTCTGCATTGTGCTTTAAAAGACCCACCTGGTAAATTTTTCATTTTGCTTTTATGTTAGTCATCAGAACCAAAAATCTAGAGGGAAAAATTACCAGTCTTTTCTTTGAAGATGAAGCGATGGGGAAGAAAACCTTATTAACACATTCCTCACATTTGTTTATTCCTCAGATATTGAAGTTTTATTTGGATTTTGACAAAGCTTGCTGGTCAGTACATTTTTCATGTGCCACGTTGTGCAATCTGTATGTTATTTTTTTCCCCTTACTTCCTTTGGAAAACAAACTCACGGTGTCCCTACTCGGAGACTCTGGTCTGAATGTTAATTATTACTTCCTTTGGTGTCTCTATCAGAAGGACTCACCCGGTTAGGAGGCCTCTGCACTTTGTCAGACTGTGCATCTTCATTGGGGTCTTTTTAGGATACAATCTGGGACTGACTGTCACGCCTCACAGTAGACAAACCATAAGATGGTTCCTGTTTGCTACTGTAAACCAACACACTCAACACAGAGCAGACCCAAGGATTATTGATCTCGACCTCCTCTCAGAGTCTCCACATACTATAGTCATGCTATCTCTTCATAGATCAGATGTGAGATTTACGGGATAAAACTGGGGATAATTGGGAGAAAACTGATGAAGTTGGCAGCTCCCAGTGGATCAGATAATCCATGTTAATTCATCTGTCTCCTATTGGGGATTTTTATTTTAAGTTCTCTTAAACTCTTCGTTGTGTCCTCTTTTCTGGTGACAAATTGGGCATGACTAAAAGATGTACAGATGTACTAAAAGATGTACAGTGACTTATGGAGATAGCCACGTTCACATTTCTTAGTGCTCTTAGAGCCTAAAAATAACCACATGTGGTTTTCTTAAGACTTCTGGAACCCCCATGGTGAAGCAGACCTGAAGACATTTGCAGCTATTCCCAATGCTGCTGTGGTCCTGTAGGTTCATACTTATCCAACGGAGTCAGAAAATTCATTTGTGCAATGCTTTCATTATCCAGTGCTCATTAGTGGTGGTCCTGCTTCTAACAATGTTATTGAGTTGACACACATTATATTATAAGGGAGAGAGAGAGGGAGGGAAGAAGGAAGGAAAGAAGGAGGGAAGGAAGGAAGGTGGGATGGAAGGAAGCAAGGAAAGAAGGAAGGACTCAAATTCAGAGACAGAGGAAAGGGGAAAGGAAGGAGGGAAGGAAGAAAAAGAAGGAGGAAAAGGAAGAAGGAAAAAAAAGCCCCCAAATTCCTTATGAACCTCTCAGTTCAACTCAGACACTGTTTTATGAAAAGTCTGTTAGAAATTTTCAGATGAGAAGCCGTTCTGAACAATGCAATGATTGCACCAGTAAGTGAGGAAACCAAGAGTGTCTCCACCTGAATCGTCAAGAATCTGTGAACTGGCAGCCTTTTGCCATTCAAAACATTTATGTCCAATCTGAAAAATAAAAATAAAACCTATCCCAAGCATTCAAGACAGTCTTTTTCATAAATTATTTATTTAAAACTCTATCAGCTCTTCTAGAAATGGATCCTGGTCTGGCTGAACCTCCTGCATCAAATTTACTCATAATGGATAATTACTTGATGTCTAACCTGTGCAAAGCATGCAAATCCCCGGATATCCAATACCAAATTGACTCAGTACAGTTGATTCCGATTTTGAGTGACTGGGAGTTGCAGTTGCTGTAAGCAAGAACATGGGGAATCTCCCAGTCCTCTAATCAGAAACTCTGTAGCGCTGCCAAAAAATAAAAAATAAAAGAGAAAAAAAAAAGGATGGTCTTCGTTTTTCCAGAAAGGAGAGTGGAGAGCCCCTTTTTAGCTAAAAGCTGTCTCCCACACTAACATTCTTCTTTGTCTCTCTCTCTGATCAAACAGCAGCTCTACATCCCTTGGAGTTCTTTCAATCTCCCACCACTTAAGCATGTGTGAGAGCTTGAGAGTTTGCTTTCATTGCCAGATTCTGAAGCCCCTTGAAAATCGGGGAAGGGTGAAGGAAGCATTTTTTTCTCTTCACCCCTATTCTCAGTCTTCATAACAAGCTCTCTAGACAAAAGGGACACTTACTGGTGGGGAGGGGTGTCCATGGTGAGCCTCCTTTTTTTAGGAGAAAATCTGTAGAATGTGGAGGTGGCGTGGCCTCCCTCTTCAGGTCTTTGCTGCCTGTCTCACAGTGGGAAGCCCACAAATGCTGACATACCAGTTGGTATCAGACTTGAGAGAACTTGGAGTGAAAAGAATCTGGGGTCTTCTTTTTCCTATAAATCCAGTATAAACCAGCAGGGTGGTTCAGATGCTGAAATTGCTAATGCTTTATTAGACAGATGACATTAATAGACACACAGGGTCAAGATCCTGGAAGAAGATGGTCCTATGGTTCTGAGAGTTGCGCAGGTCACGTTAAGGAGCTGGGTTTGATTCTAGAATCCGCATTTTCAGAGGAGCCCTGGCTAGGTTGAGACTTTCCACGAAGAGATTTTAAGACAGGAAGAGATCTGGGAAGAATTTTTCTATCATCTGTCAGGGAAATTGTAATAGGGCTCATTCAGTTCAATAACGTATGAGTAAGTTCCCTTCTGATTCTGGGATTTGGTAATTTCTTTCATGGAGTAAGACAAACTTCTGAACTTGTTTTGTGCTTATTTTAATCCTCTGCTCCCTTCATGGACACTAGTAATGTGAGTTTCCTGTAAGTGGTTTCCCAGCTCTTGGGTGTTTGTGGAAAAAGGGAGAACAATGATGGGGATCCTGGCTGCTATTCTAATGTTTTCCAAAGGAAGAGAACCAACACTGCTCCCCAGAGTTCCTCTCCAGCGGGCCTCCAGTGGGGAAAGAGGGCGATGCATTGCTGGGTGCTGGAAGTCCTCCCTCGGTGAAACTCCAAGAGGCTCTTTGTAAAGAAATCAAAAGACCAGGCGGACGAGCTCTGCAGGGCCCCTTTGTTTGTTTTCGTATTGGTCTCCTTTGCTCAACTATACAGAACCAGAAAGAAATGTGGGTTACCAGGAAGAGAAAAGAAGCAATGGCTAAAATACCAAAGTTGGCATGTGTTCTTTTAAAAAATATATATATTTTTAAATAAAATGTTTATTTTAAAAACAGGTGTAAGCTTTTGTCTTGACTGTCTGATGTACCAGGCAGGGTGCTATGCCCTTTAGGTGTGTGACTTCCTGTTATCCTCACAATGGTGCCATCAAGCAGTATTATTGTCATCCCCATTTTGCCCCATATGAAAAAACTGAGGTCCAGAGAGGCTAAGTAAATTGCTTAAAGTTACACACCTAAAAAATGGCAGAGCCAGTAGTCAAACTTTATCTCCAAAGTCCCTCATCTTAAACACTGCATATCTTGCCTGCACTTACCGCTGACCGTACTAATAAAATGAGGACTTCTGTGAAAAAACCAGACTCTCATGTTACATATATGCTATGAAAATACATGCACACATGCAACTAGACAACCCAAGGTTTTCATTGGTTTAGCAACTGAGCAAACTGAATAATAACAGAATAAATTGGGCATCAAGATGACCTAATGTATAGACTCCCCAAGTAAGACCCAGTTTTTATCTGCTTTTCTCTCTTGAATTTATTCCTGACTGTCATTTGCTCATCAGTGAATCTATAAACCACATGGAGGAACTGAGATATTGTGAAAAGAGCCCTGGATTGGAGATCTCAAGCCCTGGTTTGGACTAGAATTGATCTTGCTCCGTGCCATGGCTCTGCCTTCCCTGCTCTGGCCTTACTTTCTGGTGAGCTCTCCCGGTGCAGAAGCAAGAAGCTCACAGGTTGCCAGCAGCCCCAGGTGTACATCCTGCCAGGTTAGCAATTCCAGCAGAAAGACAGTTTCTCATTCCTAAGAGTCCCAGCAGAAATCTCACAGTTGTTTTTAGCGGTCGGGGGCCGGGGGTGGGGGGCAGTCACGCCCATCCCTGTGGCCATGAGAATGAGGTACAAATTCATTCACAGGGCCTGGATCCGCTCTGTTCAACCCTGAGCCGTGGAGTGGGACCACTTGAATCTCATGCACTGATAGTGGAAGAGGTGAGGTTTTCTAAGGGAAAATTGGGGTGCTATTACCAAAAGGGGGAACGATGTTCAAAAGGCACAAAGTATAGATTTCCACTACACAACCCCTGCTTTCAGGAAGTTTGCCATCTAGTGAAGGAGATAAACAAGTAAATGAGGAACGACAAGATAGTCTGATATGTCCTTATGTGAGAGTAAACACCTACCATGTGCTATAGGTAGGGCATTTAATAAAATGTTGGATAGGAAGGATGGTCAAGAAGGACTCTCCAGAGGAGACCACTAACACAAGATATTAATGACATAGGAATTAACCAGGCAAAAGGGGAGGAAAAGAGTATTCCAGGCAGAGGGAACAGCCTGTGCAAAGGCCTGGAGGTAAGTGAGAATTTACCATGTTCAGGGGGATGTAAGAGTTCAGGATAGCTAGAGATTAGAGCAAGGATGCAGGAGGATTTGGGGGTGGAGATGTCGAAATACCAGAGATGTCAGAAGTTGGGAACTGTATTAGTTTGTTCAGGCTGCTGTAACAAAGTATTACAAGTCAAGTAGCTTAAACAACAGAAATTTATCGTCTCAGGCTAGAAGTCCAAAGTCAAGGTGTCAATAAAATTGGTTCTTTGTGAGGGTTGTGAGGGAAGGATCTGTTCCAAGAACTTGTTGCTATAAACTAGCCAAGAGGCAATGGTAACTGGACCAAGAAAGCAGTGGTGGGAATAGAGAGATGAAGGCAGATTTGAAAAACGTTAATACAGTGGAAAGTATGGGACTTGATCATTGGATGTGGGTGGTGGAAGACAGAGAGGATTCAGATTTGGCATAGGCATAGTCGGATGTGGAGTGTATGTTAATTCTATTCACAGAGGCAAAAGCCCAGGATAGGAAAGAGTTACTTGATAGGAAAAATTATTAATTTGATTTTTGAGTGTCTAGTGCCTGTGGGACACTCTAGTCAACAGTATTCACTAGAGAGGTCTGGAAGTTTGCACAGAGATTGAGATGTGGGAGTAGTCAGTGTACAGAAGACAGCTGAGGTCATGGAATGGCTGTGACCTACACAATGTGTGGAGAGAGAAGAAAAGAGGATCCTGAAGAATATCGACATTTAAGATATTGGTGAAGGACAATGAAAGGGAGTGGCTAGAAAACCAACAGGAAAACCAGGAGATTGTGATATCCCAGATACCAAGGTGGGAGAAAATGTCAAGAAAGAGGGAGTCTTTAATCACGTCTACTGCTCCTGTGTTCCATTAAGATAAGGAATGAAGAGTGTTGTTTGATTTAATAATAAAGAGGTGGTTGGCAACCAAGGTGAGAGCATCGTGGGTGCAGTGGTGAAGTCAGGTGGGTATAGACTGAGGAATTAAAAGGAGGTGACAAGTGGAGATAGTGAATCCAGGCCTGCTTTTCAAGAAGTACAGTGATGCAAGGAAGACACACAGGGCCAGAGCGGAGAGTCAGACATTTAAAGGACTGATTTTTAAGAGGATAGATATTTGAGCTAATTTTAAAGCTAATGAGAATGAGGTAGAATACACAAGAGAAAAGGTGGTAGAGAATTGTACTGAGGTGGATTTGCCTTTGGGAAGAGGAGAGAACTGTCTGTTGTGACAGAAGAGAAAGAGAAGGGTGGGTGGAGGTGTGGGTACACAATAGGGGTGGTGGTAGGACATTGAGACAGTTCTCATGTGGTGGCTTCCATTTTGTGCTTGAAACAGGAGAGAGAAATGATGTTCATCTATTGGAGGGAGAATAGCGGGGTAGAAGTTTTAGAAATAATGGAGAAAGGCTGAATTAAGAGCAGCAGAAAATAGAAGAGAGAATTGATTAAGAAACACAGAAGGATGCCTGGGCAGAGTCAGAAAACTTGGCGGGAGATCATCCCCTCTACATGACAGTGGGAATTTCCATTAATAAAATGGATAGCTGGCAGTGGAAGCAGAGAAGGCAAACATGTGGGTTAAGCCAAGTTTAGGATGCAGGAATAGGTATGAAAGTAAGAAAACAGAATCAGATAGTTGAGGATATGACTAAAGAGGAGGTAAAATGGTGAACCATGTGATATACAAGCATTATTCTAGGGAAATAAGTGAAGATTGGAGACAGAAAATGGGGGTGATCAAGAAACTACAAGTGGACTGAGTATTGATACAATACGGTATTAGTCATGATTCTCCAAGAGAAGCAGAACCAATAGGATACATGTATATATAGATATAGAGATAGAGATATATAGGTATCTCTATAGATATATAGATCTCTCTCTAGTTCTATCTATCTAGATATCTCTCTCTATATAGGTGTAGATATATCTAGAGATATATAGATATATGGAGTCTATGTAGATATATAGATTTATTATGGGAATTGTCTCACACGATTATGGAGGCTGAGATATGCTATGATATGCTGTCTACAAACTGGAGACCCAGGAATGCCAGGGATGTAATTCAGTCTAAGTTTGAAGGCCTGAGAACAAGCAGAGCCAACGAGGTAAATACTGGAGTCCAAAGGCTCAAGAACCAGGGCAGGAGAAGATGGATGCCCCAGCTCAGGAAGAGAGAGAATTCCCCCTTCCTCTACCTTTTTGTTCTATTCAGGCCATCGATGGATTGGATGGTGTCCACCCAGATTGGGGAGGGCAGAGCTTCTTTACTCAGTCCACCAATTCAAAAGCAATCCCTTCCAGAAACACCCTCACAGATACAACCAGAAATAATGTTTTACCAGCTATGTGGGCATG